CGTTTGAGGAAAAGGGATACGTCTTCAGTGAAGGATATCAGTTTGAGGAAGAATACATTATAGTATGTGTACATGTCTCTAAGTGGGAGATTTGTTGAGGTGGAGCCTGGTTCAAAAAAAACAAAAAAAAAGTACATGTTAAACGCTCCCATATCTCTCTCTCTCTCTCACGTTCGCCTCTTCTGATTTTGTGATTATCGTCTCGCACGATATTTCTGCTCTGTCAGTTCGCGAAGGCTTTTGGCTCTAGTATCGTTTGCGAACTACTCGTCCCGCTCCCATCTCGTCTCTGTCACTCCCAAAACTAGAAGATTTCTCTCCTCTCTCGCGAAACAGGAACTTTCGTCTCTGCTCACGCCTCCTTCAGTTCGTGAAAAGATTCTTCTCATGCGAAGAAGATAGTGGAAGAAGAAGGACCGGTGAAGGCAGGAAGGAGTTCTTGCTTGAGGTGAGGACAAGAAGAAGGAATTGTTGCTTACAGTGTTTTTTTTCTTTAAACTTGTCTTTATTTTTGGCTCTCAGATATAGAGAGAGAGGAAGTAAGAAATTTCTTTCTTGTAATTGTCGACGTGATTAAACAGTGTAAATTTCTCAATTAGTAAAATCCTCTCCAACTCCGTGGATGTAGGCAATTTGTCGAACCACGTAAATCTGTGTGTTCTTTTGGTGTAAATTTTCTCGTTTTATTTTTTGCTTCATCGTCGATCGTTATATTTATATATACCGCAACACTATCTACTTGCCTGTCCTTGAATTGAAATCTTTCTAAAATTAAATGGGCCTAGAATGTCCTCAAATTACTTCTTTGCAGGAATTATCTCTTCTTGTTCTTCACACCGAAAAAACTTAACAATGAGTTGAACTTCTTAACAGAGATATGATTGTTGGAAAACTCTAATTTTTCAGCTAAAATCCTTGTGTGTTATCCCAAGTGTATAGTAAAATAGTAAGCCTTAAGCATATGCAGCATGAACAATAGCTAACTCAAAATTTCCCAGTTCAAACATCCCCATTTAGAAGTAGGTAAAAAAAACTCCTCAAAACTCTACCAGCTCGATATTCTTGATTTTGTGCATAAAAATATACAATATAATTATGTTTTTCTTTAATCTATACCACTTACGTAGTACTAGCGATAGCGTGCATCCTATGCCGCCTGACACATCTTGATCTGCAACAGTAGGACTTACACTTGCATCCTGTGTCGTCTGTATATAGTAATTTTCATTGAAATTTGTATTACAGTTTATTGCATATTTCTGTGTTTTCAGTTTTAGTAGTTCTATCTTGTACTTTACAATTTCGTCAACCTGCGTACTGCATAATTATATGTTTTATGTTTGTTACTGTTATGTTTTTAGTTTATTACATAGTATGTTGTTATATGAACTAATTAATAAAATTTATTCTCTATGTTACAGATGTTAATTGGAGTCAGGGACGGTCTCCCTCCCCACTCGGGGGGTGGGTGCATGGAGCACAACGCTATCTAATGAAGAAGCATGTTAGGAGAGGCCACCTAACTTCGACACCCACTCCCATCCCCACTCCCACACCCACCCCCCCCCCACCCCAACCACCACCCCCCCCCAACCCCCGCCCCATCCACCATTCTACCCCAACACAACCAATGTATTAATAAGCTGTTGCC